TTTTACACATTGCTGTAATTCATCTAGTGTAGTTCTCCACTCCCTAATATCATATTCTCCCCTCATGCTCCCTGCTATCACAACAATTGCTAGTGGTAAACCGCCACACTCCTTCACAACAGAATTCAAGATTTCTTCCAACCCTTCAACTTCTAAAACGCTACGTCCAACCTTATCAAGGAAAAGGTTTAGAGACTCCTTTGGTGGAAGAGGCCGCACTTCAACAATCTGACAACGCAAATTTTTGCATACTTGAGCTGATCTACTAGTTATAACTACTTTGCACCCATTCTGCACAGTTGGTTCTGGGATTCCAACATCCTTGAGAGAAAACTCTTCCCATACATCATCTAAAATAAGCACAAAACTCACTTTTCGCATTATATCCATTAGTTCTGATGCCCGGCTCCTCTCTTCATCTTCCTGGAGTGTTTCACGCATAGCCTTAGCAATCTTCCTTTGTAATTCAAAAACATTAAGAGGGTATGATACAACAACCCAAATCACTTTCTGAAATCTGCCCTCCCTCACCAAATCATTGTTAATATGCTGCATGATTGTAGTCTTCCCAACTCCACCAATCCCGCAAACCCCAATCATTCCAACTTCATTGCCCATCAAGCACTTCCAAAATTCATCTTTAGCAGAACCCTCTAAATTTTCTGTTGGAAATATGAGTCCAGGAGCTGGAGCTCTCTCAATCACAAGGCCTTCAGTGAAATTGCCCCTCTCTTGAATTCTCTTCACCTCTTCAATTTTTTCACGCACGAGTATATCAAGACTGATACGATTGTAGCGTGAAACACTGTGCACCCTTTCTTCAACATCTTGTATGTCTTCTTCCATCTTTTGGACATCTTCAAGCCAGCCCTTTACTTCTTCTTTCACCACTTGCTTCAAGCGAACCTCCGTTTCTATTCTTGAATTAATGTCAATTTTTTTCCTTTTTAGAACCCGACATTCGCTTTTCAACATATTCAGATCTTCTTCAAGCTTTCTGTAGTGGTCTACAAAATTCTCAGCTTTCTCAAGAATTTTCTCCATTGATAAATTCCTAAAATGTAGTAGTAATGTCATTAAATTTATTTTTTATCCGAAATAAAAAAAATGAGTTACAATTCGTTAGGAATAAATAGTCTTAAAAAAATGTCATTCCTAAGAACACAACAAAAATTGTTTACAAAAGATACAAAACTTTTTTTGTTACAATACCATGTTTAGGATTAAGATTATATATTAAGCCTCTAAATAATGGGTCTAGTTGATTTTAGTAAAACAAATG